CCGGGTGTGGCATGCTGCGTACGACGGGACGGGCGCCATGCGGTACACCGCGGACAGTGCCTCCTGTGAGGTGCTGGAGAGCCACACCAGCGATGTGCAGGGTGTGATTGCGCTGCCGAGTGCGGATGGCCAGCTGCCCATCCTGGTCTCGTGGTCGAGAGACAACACGATCCGGGTGTGGCATGCTGCGGACGACGGGACGGGCGCCATGCGGTACACCGAGGACAGTGCCTCCTGTGAGGTGCTGAAGGGCCACACCAGCGGTGTGGAGGGTGTGATTGCGCTGCCGAGTGCGGATGGCCAGCTGCCTGTCCTGGTCTCGTGGTCGTGGGACAACACGATCCGGGTGTGGCATGCTGCAGACGACGGGTCGGGCGCCGTGTGGTACACCGCGGACAGGGTCTCCTGTGAGGTGCTGGAGGGCCACATCTACAATGTGCGGGGTGTGATTGCGCTGCCGAGTGCGGATGGCCAGCTGCCTGTCCTGGTCTCGTGGTCGATAGACAAGACGGTCCGGGTGTGGCATGCTGCGGACGACGGGACGGGCGCCATGCGGTACACCGCGGACAGGGACTCCTGTGAGGTGCTGGAGGGCCACACCGACGATGTGGAGGGTGTGATTGCGCTGCCGAGTGCGGACAGCCAGCTGCCTGTCCTGGTCTCGTGGTCGTGGGACAGGACGATCCGGGTGTGGCATCCTGTGGACGACGGGACGGGCGCCATGCGGTACACCGCGGACAGTGCCTCCTGTGAGGTGCTGGAGGGCCACACGAACAATGTGCGGGGTGTGATTGCGCTGTCGAGTGCGGATGGCCAGCTGCCTGTCCTGGTCTCGTGGTCGAGAGACAACACGATCCGGGTGTGGCATGCTGCAGACGACGGGTCGGGCGCCGTGTGGTACACCGTGGACAGGGCCTCCTGTGAGGTGCTGGAGGGCCACATCTACAATGTGTGGGGTGTGATTGCGCTGCCGAGTGCGGATGGCCAGCTGCCGGTCCTGGTTTCGTGGTCGATAGACAACACGATCCGGGTGTGGCATGCTGCGGACGACGGGACGGGCGCCATGCGGTACACCGCGGACAGTGCCTCCTGTGAGGTGCTGAAGGGCCACACGAACAATGTGCAGGGTGTGATTGCGCTGCCGAGTGCGGATGGCCAGCTGCCGGTCCTGGTCTCGTGGTCGAAGGACAACACGATTCGGGTGTGGCATGCTGCGGACGACGGGACGGGCGCCATGCGGTACACCGCGGACAGTGCCTCCTGTGAGGTGCTGAAGGGCCACACGAACAATGTGCAGGGTGTGATTGCGCTGCCGAGTGCGGATGGCCAGCTGCCTGTCCTGGTCTCCCACTCATACTCCGACGAGACGTTCGAGTGGCACCCCTCCCCCACCGGCTACACCCTCCACGCCCGCCACCCTTCCTCCTTCTGGCTCCACGCCCGCCGCTCCATCCCCACCCACCCACGCAACAACTCCACCCGCATCACCATTGCCAACCACACCGGCCCCTCCATCCCCCACCCCTCCGACCCCAATCGCCTCCTCACCGTATTCTCCAACTGCCCCCTCCGCCTTCTCCGCCGCCATCCATAACACCCACCGCCTTTTCTCCCCCGAGCACCACGCCCGCATCCTCGCCGCCACCGGCACATCCGCAGCCTCCTGCGCCATGGGCCTCACAGCGATCGACCGACAACACGTTTGATGAATTACCCCGCCATCGAACTAGGAGCGTTGGCTGGTGAGGAACCTGGGGGGCCTATCTCCATGGCGTTTGTGGCTATCGAACGCCAGCGCCCGCATGAGCATATCGTAGAGGAGCGTGCCAAAGGTGAACATGTCGCCCTCAAAACCCTCATCGGCTTCGCGCAGCTGCTCCGG